GCCTCATGGGGAAGTCTCTATATAGCCAACTGATGGAGAAGGGAAAATCTCCAACCCAATTCAAAGACAGTTCTGTTGGAGTTCTACAGAAATGGACCACTGCCAAAATACAGCTCTTCTCACAACTGACCCTAAAGAATAAGCACAGCCATAAGGAGGCTCTTGACAATCCGATAGATAGGGTGGCCAATTTTCTGGATGTCAGTCAGCCTCTCTCTTTGGTCAATCCACTACTTGCACAATGGATGCATGAACAAAGTTGCCATGGTGTCAGGTTCAGATCCTACACATGGATTGAAAAGCAGGGGCTCCAGGAGCCAAGGTGTGGGACTAGGACCACCCTCTCACCATCACTCTCAATGACACACACAGAATTTGTACTTTCTGTCCCTCCAACCTTACATCTGTTAGGTTAGAGACTCTAGTTCCCAGAGAGTATTGCTTCCTAAAAACACATTGTGTTCCACTGAACTGGAAATTGCAGCTACTCTGAATTCCTCCTCCTGATAAGCAAGAAAAGAATCACTGTCCTGACTGGTTTAATTAGCCTTGGTTGCCACGAGGGGCTGGAGCTGCTGATACACACCGAGGCTGAACAGGAGAACATCTGGAGGGTAGGACTCACGGAGGCACCTCTTGGTGATTTTATGACCAGTGACTGTTGGAAATGGGAACCTGGAGTAACTACTGCTCAAGAAAAATAACTGAGGGCTCACATCCGTCACAGGTGAAGGACTGTGTCAGCCCACCAGGAAAGTAACCTGGAGCAGCTGAATACTGACTAGAGACTGTGGAAAGCAAGGATGGGCAAGAGGCAAGGGAGCTGATGAGTATCAGCTGTGATCCTGGACCTGGTGCAGCAGTGGGAGCTACAGCTTGGTTTGCTTGTCTTCTCTAAATCTTGGGGATTGAAACCGATCACTACCTGGAAGGACTGGTCTTGCGCCTCCCTCCTTGAGGAAGTAGTGAACACATCCTGTCCTTCTACAAGATCTGGGATGTAAGAGGATGCAAGAAAAATCAAATTGGTGCAAGAGATACTGTCTACAAGACTCAGGTTATGAATCACCCTGTTCCTCTCATCCCTGGCTGCACCTATCCCACTCAAAGTCAACTATTGGCTTTGTTTTTTGTTGTTTTTTTTTTGAGTTGGAGTCTCACTCTGTCGTCCAGACTGGAGTGCAGTGGCCGCTCCCGGCCACCGCAGCCTCGACCTGCTGGGCTCTGGCGATCCTTCCGCCTCAGCCT